AGCCTGGCAACAGCACCTTCATTTTATCAGACCACGGAAGTGTTGCCGGGCGGTCGAGAAGGAATCTATGGAAACAGTGGAATGAGGGTTTTCTATTCAGTTATTCATAACTTCATATCACGTTCAAATGTCAGGAATGTATAAAAAGTATAAATATCAATGATTAGGATCTGACCTCACGCAAACAAGCCTGCCACACTCTGTTGCTCTGCTGCGGCCCTTGACTCCCCCCACTGCCTCTCCTGCGCCGGTGAGAAGCAGGGGAGCAAGGGCCGCCTGGGGAACAGGTTTGCAGTATCGGTACACAAGTGCGCTCTGGGGCGGTAGGATCACTGGGACAACACTTTGGGTCCACGCTCCCTTGTCAGGCAACAAGAAACACGCAAACACACAGTCAGCCTGTTCCAAACCTAAAAACCCTTTCGTGCCCCGAAGCTGACAGGTTGTTGATTTATTGCCGCTAAGTTTCTCTTAAATGTTAATGAACTTGAGCGAAACCGGCTTGTTGTTTACCAGATGTCATTTGTCAACATGTCTAAATTGTATCTGACTCTTGCTAAACAGCAGTGGTGGTGGGCCATGCACTCTGCACGCTGTTGCTAGGTTACGGCGCAGAGTTGCTGCCGGTTTAAGTGGCAGCAGGCTCGTCTGGTGGCCTTCCGCAGGGACGGCTGGCATCAGGTCCGCGTGACCATTAGGCAAATTCTCCGGTACGGATTGTTTGATTTCACATCTGGTGGCAAGCCCGGCAGAATCGAGATTAAAGCGTGTCCAATTTTGAGGCACGGCTTCACTCCTATTGAGTTGTGCATGTTAATTTTAGTCAGACCTTCCTTATTGTGCCCGCATAGCAACACCAGGACACTTCTAATAACGAGATGGTGTTGAGTTGAGTTAGAAAGTCAGAAACTACTGTAGATACGTAGCAGAGTAAACAGCCACCTTTAACAAAAGCTGGACTTGAGTTGGGAGTGGCTATCTTCTTGTGGCCTTGTTCGGTCTAGTCCAATTTTACTCTCTGTGTGTCCCTTACATACAGGTCTTCATAACATAGATAGAGCCCCACTCCCACGTAATATTTTTATAGTCTTGTACAGTTTCATTGTGATCATTCTGGCTTTACTCTTTCAAGTTTTTTTTTCCATGTTCTCCATGTGCTGGCAATGGTTTTGTCCATGTAACTCATCTTCCTCCTGCATCCCGAAACCATGCATGTTAGGTTAACTGAACCTTCTAAATTCTCCATAGATGTGAATTTCAATTCAAGGTGTAACCTGCCTCTTGCAGCTCACCAATAAACCTATCGAGGACATGTGTGATATAAAATGGATGCATGACTATCTGAAACATTATTCCTTTGGGTTTAAAAATGTTCACGTACAAAAAAAAAAAGATGCATTTTTTTTTTTCCCCCGGAGCAGCACATGACACATGCAGCAACTGTCAAACCAAGTCTCTTCAGAAACAGAATTTTAATAGTGCTGGAGTTTTCAGTAGGTTTTATCCCCCCCCCCCCAAATGGACATTTTAGTGTGGTTTTTATTAGTTTTAGTATTACAGTAATTTCCAGAGTGCAAAACAAACACCTGATTAAAAGCCACAACAGCTCAATGTGGCCATAAAAACAAATTTGTACATACATCGGTTGCTTCATATTAATAGCTGCAGGTCTCCATGGTATAACACAGATGGATTAAAAAACAAACAAACAAACAAACAAACAAAAAAAAACGTTTACCTTTCTGAGTCAATCTTGTTTTCACATGAGGCAAAGTCACCGACCGGCTTCACCACGCAGCAATGCAACCAGTTTGTTACATTTTGGGAAGACGCAAGGGATGCACATACTGATTAAAGAAAAGTCCATGATAGGATGTCACTCCATGGCCAGACTTGCTGTCCTGTCTGTTGCCAGCGATGGTGGGAATCGGTCACCAAACAAACAGAAAGACGGAGTTCGTGCTGCAGATATGGCTGTATTTATGGCACTCATTCCCTATGCTCATTAAACCAACAGAAGATGCTTATTTTCACTCTCAATTGCTCTTTAAACAGCTGTGCACTGTTACGCATGCAGCCTTTTGCTGACAGACGCATTATTCTCTCTTCGGGCAGCTGGCCCCGCACTTCAACCGCAAATGGCTGATAAATATTCAGTATGAGGGTGGACTCGGACAAGTTCATTAGTCCACTGTGATGTGTATGGTAATTTCACTGGTCAGATGTGATGACACGACGCGTAAATCTAGTGGAAGCTTAAAGCTCGTCGGGAAAAATTCATAAATAAACCCACAGAGTTCAAAGCGAGGGAAAAAAATTAGTCGCCTGTCGTCGGTAAAGTACTGTAGTTTTAGCAAGATAAACTAAAAGGTACTAAGTATTGAGTAAGTAAACTCCCAGTTCTAAAGGACCGTTCAACCTTCTTTCTACTGTACAGTTGTACAGTAATACCAAAATAAATATGTTTAAAAATAACCCCGAAAGCTCACGCATGAAATGTATTGACAAAGGGAAAATATGCTCTAATTAGAGTTTCAGTTAGTTTTATAAAGGTAAAATCTTTTTAAAGCATTCTTGTTTTAATTTCATTGACGGAAACCTTTTTTTCAATGTTAGTTTTTGTTATTTATTTAGTTATATTTCACACTAATAACCTTTATCGCAGTGGTCCCCAACCACCGGTCCGCGGACCGGTACCGGGCCGCCGGGCATTTTGTAACC